CAATTCACATAAGTTACCACTCACATAAACATTTTGCTTCGAAAAAAAGTTATAGAACAAAACATTCTCATACATGACAAGTAAAACATGTGAATCAAGTACTTTTTACAACACAAAATAATCAAGGTAAGTTTTCAACAACAAAAACACATGTACTTAAACCAGACTTGGAAAAGGATTCCTTGTCATCTCTAGCTTGCTATCCTCAGTTGGCCTGCAACTTCTTTATTTGACTAGAAAAGTTAAAATAATCTTGATGAGTAATTCATTTATTCAATAAGTAGCTAACTTGTCATTCACAAGTTTAGTACTTATCTTTTTAGTTGTTCTTGAGTTTTATTAAATCTCGATTCCTCGATTCCTATTTTCTTTTCCTAGGATCATTTGTAGGTTAGTGATGTATTTCAACTACCTCTAACTTAGGTTATTTTTATATGGTTATTTAGGATTTTTGGACACATATACAAGACTTGCTCTCGATCAATTACGGCCCATCTACTAATTTTTTTAGCAGCATGTAACATCATATATACCAAAGGTCAGAAATATTTATTGTTCCTAACTTAACACACAGCATGTTGGTTAGGAACTCTGCGAGAATTAATAGACTACAATACTCATATTCTAAATCTTGTGATAATTTGTTTTGCGATAAATGAAAATGTAGTAAAGATGAGAATCAATATTTGATTTACCATAGAAGAAATATCTCTCCAAAAGAACAAAATTTTATGGAAAAGGCCAACTAAATTGACAAGCATCGAAAGACATTGATAGATTTCCCGACGCTTGCTAATTTTTTTAGCCAATGTATGCTACGTGACAAAATTTAGTGCATCTAGAGACATTTTTGCCCGCCATAATCTAACATTTCAAGCCTCCAAAGCCCCCTCGTCTCTCTTATATTTCTTCTTCCCCATTTGCTTCCCTACTCCTTTATTGGCATCCGCGCTACTTTTTTGGTTCTCTCTTTTTAAATATATTTTGGTTCCCTTTTGTTCATAGATTATGTTCATAGATTATGTCATGAGCTTAGGTTCATTTGGGGTATGCACAAACCTAAAAGACTTCAATTTCGTTTTAACACTCTAGAAAACAATATAGCTAGTGTCAATATGCTTCAAACTCTTTAAAAGGGATACCTAAAAAAAATTCGACTCGAAGATGCATTTACATTTTATTTCAATGACTAGAAGCTACACCTAAAAAATTACAGGTTTTTATTCAATAGAAAAAGTTCTATTTTTTGAACGTTGTAGTTAATAGTCACACATTCTAACCAACTAAGCTATTACAACTAATCATTTGTAAAAGACCAAGCTCATCACTAGTAGATATATTCTGGGTTGGCTCGTTACGTACTACGGTGGTTTCCACACTCTTAGTACGAATTTTTTATCCCCTCTCCAACGAATGTGGGATATCACAATCCACCCTCCTTCGGGGTCCAGTGTTGCAACCCTAGTCCTCAGAGTTATCCATTGCTTAATTTCTTAATGGTATATTTCTTAATTTCATCTTAAGCAAATTGAATGCATTTTCCTGCATTTCCTCCTTTAAAAACAACATTTTTTTCACTAAATCATTTCATGGGTAGCTATGGTGCTAAAATATTTTAAATCTCTTATAGAAGCTAGCTAACCCATGAAAACTCTAAACTTCACTTGCATTTTTTTGTGATAGGCAAATCGCTAATGACTTTAACTTTCTCTTTATCTACTTCTACTCTACTTTTACTGACTATGAAACCGAGGACGTGAACTTTTTACCTGCAAAAACTACACATATTAAAGTTAGAATGACATTTGTCCTTTCTATGTGTAATCAAAACTAACTTAACATGCTCCACATGATCAAGCAAAGTCTTCAAATAAATTAAAAAATCATCAATATGCACAGCACGTTTTCCCAAATATTGTCTCAAAACGTGATTTATTAAGGGCATAAATGTACTAGGAGCATTAGATAACCCAAATGGCATAACAAACCATTCATATAATCCAAACTTAATTTTGAAAATTGTTTTCTCTTCATCTCTTACATGCATTCTAATTTGATGATATTCAGATTTCATACTTGGACTAGTTCCATAAATTTAGCTGAGTTCATTAAATGCAACTTAAACTGCATTTAATGCATCTCTTTCTTGAAGCTCCACTTCGCACAACATATAAGAAAGGTCTCCAACGCCTTATAGAATTTTCTTTGATGAGCTCACCATAGCTTGAATATAAGTGTACAAGGTTTCTTGTACCTTCTTGGCTGTTGTCCTTGTAACTGGACCTTGAGGTATGGAAATTCCTTGGGCGTGGTTCATATCACCGGACAATATCTTTTAGCGGTGGCCTTTGGCTAGTAAAAAAAAACAAAAAACTTTTCGTCGCCTAAAAGATTCAAGCTCTCTTAGGAAACCCCATGTACTTAGCAAGCACACACCTTAAACCCTCGACCAAAGCAACTTTTTTATTTTAGGCATGAATCTCGAAGAGACATTAGGGACAACAGAGGTAGATGATTGATGAGGAATCAATAAGAACTTCGAGATTAAACAGTAACTTAGATCACAGTAAAGGGTAAGCCCGAACTTCCTATAGACCAAAGGAAAGGAATGGAAACCTAGTAGGGAAGAAGTGAGTGCCTACAAGTAAGTTGGTTACTAAGTATATTTTTATACTTACCACTTTCTTCTTTAAGAGTTCAGGTACTATTCAAGGTGAGGAGATGCTCGGGAGCTCTACTATCACAGAGGGGTGTCAACCCAGAGTGTATGTTAGTTGTATTCGACCTGGGACATCAATTAGTTGTATAATTTTTGGGGTTCATCTTTAATTGTTTTGTATCCCATGTCCTTTTTTTTCCTTTTGTAAATAACTTTAAATGAATATCATAGGTGTTGTATGTCTTTTAAATTGAGCAAAATTTATCTTTCGTCGTAGTTTGATTTGTCGAAACCTCTAAAATAACCAATAAATACTTAAAATTCAGTCATGACAGATCCAACCATGGTTGGAGTTGGGAATGAAGCATTTCTTATAATAAGGGTGTGAATTCTTCTATGAGATCATGAGGTAACATGCCAAAGCGGACAATATCTTTTAGCGGCAGTCTTTGGCTAGTAAAAAAAAATGAACTAAAGCGAACAATATCTTTTAGCGGCAGTCTTTGGCTAGTAAAAAAAAAAAGAACTGATCAACGCCTAAGAGATTCAAGCTCATGCGGGGAGACACCATGTACATAGCAGGCACACACCTCAACCACTCGCCCAAAGCAACTTTTTTTTCAGGAACGAAATTCGAAGAGACCTTAGGGAAAGCTAAGGTAGATGATTAATGAGGAATCAATTAGAACTTCAAGACTTACACGGTAGCTTAGAGTGTAGTAAAGGGTAAGCTCGAACTTCCTATAGACCAAAGGAAAGTCTTAGAAATCTAGCATTAAAAGGAAGCGATGAGAGCCTACAAATAGATTGATTACTAAGTATATTTTTATACAAACCCCTCTCTACCTTTTCTAGTTCAGGTATTTTTCAAGGTAGGGAGACGCTCAAGAGCTCTACTATCACAGAGGAGTGTCGACCCGAGGTGTATTGTAGTTGTATTCGACTTAAGACATCAATTAGTAGTATATTTCTTTTGTAAATAACTTTGAATTTCTGACATAGGTTTTGTATTGCTTTTAAAGCAAAATTTATTTTTATTCCTAGTTCAATTTGTCGAAACATCTAAAATTTGGTCATGACATATCCAAAATCGGCTAGAGAGTGGAATAAAGCATTCCTTCTAATAAGGGTGTGAATACCTCTATGAGATTGTGAGGTAACGAGACAAAGCTGACAATATCCTTTAGCAGTGACCTTTGGCTAGTACAAAAAAAAAAGAAAAAAAGCTTTTCATCACCTAAGAGATTTGAACTCTTAGGGGGAAACCCCATGTACTTAGCAGCCACACGCCTTACCCACTCGGCCAAAGCAACTTTTTTATTTTTGGCACCAATCATGAAGAGGCACTAGAGACAACAAAGGTAGATGATTGATGAGGAATCAATTAGAACTTTGTGACCTACATGGTAGCTTAGAGTGCAATAAAGGTTAAGCCCTAACTTCTTATAGACCAAAGGAAAGTCGTGTAAACCTAGTATTAGAAGAAAGCAATGAGAGCCTACAAGTAGGTTAGTTACTAACTATATTTTTATACATACCCCTTTCTTCTTTTCTAGTTCAGTTACTTTGTGGGGAGATGCTCGAGCGCTCTACTATCACACAGGTGTGCGACCCGAAGTGTGTTGTAGTTGTATTCGACCTGGGACATCAAATAGTTGTAAAATTTTTTGGGTTCATTTTGAATTTGTTCTGTATCCCATGCCATTTTTATCTTCTGTAAATAACTTTGAATTTCTAACATAGGTGTTGTAGGTCTTACACAGTGGAAATTTTATTTTTTTGTTGAAGTTCGATTTGTCGAATTCTCTAAAATTTGGTCATGACAGATAGAATAGGTTGGAGAGCAGAATGAAGCATTTCCTATAATAACGGTGCAAATACCTCTGTGAGATCGTGAGGTAATGGGCCAAAGCGGACAATATCTTTAGTGGTGGCCATAGGCTAGTACAAAAAAAAAAAAAAAAAAAAAAAAAA